GAGAGCAACAGCAGCCAACGAGCTAGCCTACCCGTAAGTGCCGGTTTTAGGCCATTTTTAGAAAGGGTTCAAAAGGGTCAGGTGGAATTACTGGCCGGCCACCAACTTTTGGTGTCCTCTCATGTGTGTACAACACAAATATGGGGGTTAGGATTGAAGAAAGTGACCCTAGGGTGGTCAACATTGGCTTGGAAGTGAGAAAAACGGGCGTCGGAGGGCGCCGGAGGAATATAACTGGTTGCTGAAACAATTGCTGGCCTCCCACCCTTTTACGGCCTTCCTGGTGATGAAACAGAGATACCTGCCAAAAATGAACGAAAACCGATGCAAAATGAATGTTCGGGGGCCAGAACGCGCAGTTCGGGGCCCCAAAAACTGCCTGTTAAGCACCGAAAGTGGCATTCGACCACGAAGTGGGTCTTTCAGACCTCAGTGTCCCTCAAAAAGGAGTAAATAAGATGCATGCCAAAAACCGGAGCAATCGGAGATAGTTAGGCGGTCTCGAACCGAGCCACACGGCCTGACGGCTCCGAAAAATCGGGAACCGGGCTCCGAAATGGGCAAAATGGCCTACAGCTACAAAATGTAGCCCACGGCCACTGAGGGATGGTCTACGGGACCTCTCCCTCCCTTCAGTAAGAGAAAACAGAGAAAATCGAGCCTGGTTCGCAAACCGAGGCAAAGTACAGAAGAGCCCGGAAGTCCGGAGGCAAGGCTCACAGCCGAGACTCTGAAACTTCTGAGCAAGCACAACTTGCAATATCACCGAGTGCTCAACTGATGACGTCTGAGTCTCAAGGTCGGTCAAAAATGGGGTGTCTACACATAGATATATTTTCTAACATTTCCAATTATGAGTGATAATTCATATCTAACTCCGCCACCGTTATCATCATTGTTCCAATTCCATAAAAAAAATATCAATTCCATTTCCTCTTTACAAAAAATCAAATTCTCACAATTTAGGGCAAAAACCCCCTTTCTTTAAAAATCAATTTCCATGGATAAAACCCACCATTTATCACAAGCTAACCATTTTTACAAAGCCACAATTATATACAAGAGCCCAATTTGAAAACCCCTCTTTTGATTTCAAAACCAAACCCCAAGTTTTATCCAAAAATCCCCAATTCATTTTCTTGTTTGGAAAAGCAAATAACTAAGTAAAAAATCATAAAAATGGTTAAAGTAATCCCTGTCTCAAAGACAAGAACCAAGAAGAATTAGAGTTGAAACTTGACGAAGCCGAAAATGAACTTTGCTCCAATCAAAACGAAGCTCTAGGTGAGCTCTGCCTTTTTATCAAAGGAGCTATGGTGTAGAAATCAACGGATCAATATGTATTTGAGTTTTAGATAGGGTTTCTAGAGAGAGAGAAAATAAGTGGATCTAGGTTTTGGAGTGTTTTAGAGAGAGAGAGAGAGAGAGAGAGAGAAAGATGAGCAAATGACTCAAAAGTGACCCCCTTCGGACTGATATACGCACAGATCGCTCGAGTGCAGAAATGATCGCTTGAGCGACCAGACACGGCGAAGACACCGCTCAAGCACAAAAATGGTCGCTCGAGCGTACAATGCATTCTCTTAGTAATTCAGACCTGCAAAAGTTCGCTCAAGCGCCAGAAGAGCCGCTTGAGCGCAGATATTAAGCTCTCAGTAGTTTGCAGACTGTAAAAGGCCGCTCGAGTGCAAGAAGTGTCGCTCAAGCGAACAGACAAAATTCTGGGTAATCAACTCTTTGACAAACAAGCTACCCACTTGTTCCAAATATGACAATGATACTCCAATAGCCAAACTCAATGAAGTACAAGATGAATAAGGAGTTGAACAACCAATAAGACGAGGGAATTCTGAATCCAAAACAATAAACGGGCCGAGTCCAAACTAGAGTTGTTATAAAATCTCCAAATCACTAGATTCTTTCAATAAGCAAATAACTAAGGTAAAAATCATACCGAAGGTTAAAGAAATCCCTACCTCAAGAGTAGAAGACAAGAGAGAGCAAAGGTTGAAATTTGGTGGAGCCGAAAAAAAACATCCCCTTTGATTAAAACAAAACTCTCGACGTGCTCTACATTTTTATCCAAAGGACTAGGGTGAAGAAATCAATAGATTGAAAGTATTTGGAGCTTAAATGCAAGAACTAGAGAGAAAGAGTGAAGATCTAGGGTTTTAGAATGTTTAGAGAGAGAGAAAAATTAAAAAGTAACTCAAAAAAACCTTTTTTCCGAACTAATTTGCGTATAGACCGCTCGAGCGACCAAAAACACAGCACAATAACCCTTCTTAGAAACTCAGACCTGCAAAAGACTGCTCAAGTGCAGGAAAAACTGCTCTAGGGAAGATACTCCACTTCCATAAGTTTTGCAAACTGTAAAAAAACGCTTGAGTGCAATAAAGAACCGCTCAAGCGTACAAGTAAAAGTCTGGACAACAACTCCTTAAAAAGCTAACCCCCAACATGTTCCAATTACAACAGTAACTCCAAAACAACCAAACTCAACTAGCAACAAGATAAGAATGAAATGAACAATAGTTATAGATATAGATGTCCGGATTCAAAAGTAAGAAATGAAAATGGGTCGAGTCTAAACCAGAATCGTTATACAAACTATTCATATTATCTTAGTACATATAATTTTTATTCATGTCAAATAATCACTCATTGTATAACCTTTTTTTTTTTCCCTTTCCTATATATTAAAGTGAATTTTGAGAAAAAAATAAGGACTCCATTAACGTAATATAGTAAACGCTATAAATTTAACATAATTACATTTAGTTTCCTTATTTTAATTTGTGTAAGCACAAAATAAATAAAGTAAGATATACAATTAATTTAAAAATGATGACAATATTATTTTTTCATCCATATAACTAAGTCTTGTTGAAAATTAAGAATTATACAAACTAAAATAAGGGAACTCAATGTAATTATGTTAAAACTATAGCATTTACTATATTATGCTAAGGGAGTTCTTATTTTTTTTTTTTTTCAAAATTAACTTTAATATATATGAAGGAAAAAAAAAAGAAAAAGAAAAAGAAAAAAGAAGACATGCAAGGAGTGATGATTTGACATAAATAAAAAAATTATATGTACTAAAGTAATAATATGAATAGTTTGGTTATGTGTGTTAAAAAATGTTGAAGCGAAAGGAATTTCAATCTATCCAAGGTTTGCTGAATTTCAATTTCAATTTCAAATGTCGTTTTCAGAATGGGTTTTTTAATTTCACAACTTAAAATCATATTTTCAAAATGTGAGTTTATGTGAAATCGCATGTTGAAAATGCAATTTCAACTTGCCACATCATTGCAACAGAAACCATGTCAATTTGAAATCGTATTTTCAACATACGATTTCAACTTGCCACATCAGCACGTCATTATCCATTTCGACTTGAAATCGCATTTTGAACATAGGATTTCAAGTTGAAATTGCATGTTCAAAATACAATTTCAAAAGTGGGTTAGTTTCCCAAATAGTATAAAAAGTGGGTCAATTTTCTAATTTGTTTTTTTTTTAAGAATATTTCCACACACACACACAAAAAAAAAAAAAAAAAAAAAAAAAAAAAAAAAAAAAACCTCTAACTTTTAATGGAAGTACAATTATTACATTTTAAAAATATTAATTTTTAAAATTACCCTTTAATAGTACAATTATTATACTTTAAAAAAAGTAAATGAATTTAAAAGAATAGCAAAATAAGAATTTTATGTTATTTTAGTCATTAATTTTTGAAAATAGACTAATATTTTGAGACAATGAAAAATGAAATAAGAGACTAAATATTTTGGGATGGATAGAATAATATTTATGGGTTTATATTTTATTTTTATAATTTTTTTAGAGACTAAATAGATTTAAATTAAATATTGTAGAAACTTAATAGATTTAATCGATAATTTATAAACTGAATAAATTTTAATTTATATACTTACATACTTTAAGGGCGTAATAAACTTAATCAATAGTATAAGAATTAAATAAATAATTTAACAATAATTAAATGATATAGAGTGTAATAAACCCGTTTTTTAATTATAGAAAGAGTTCAATGCGCTATAAATGAGCTCAAAATTTAATCCGAGTACAAAACAAGGTCTCCATAAAGAACCATTAGAATTACTCAATATTTACTTGAATCATATCCGTAAAGAAAAATATCTTCTCCACTAAGGGGTTGTTTGGAATGACCTAAATAAGTATACTTTTTATCTTTTTACGAAAAGATATATAAAAAATTAGAGAAATAATATGATGAAAAAAGATAAAAAAAAATAAAAAAATGAATTATTTGTATAGAGCTCCCACATGCAGGTGTTCTCAGCAGTCGCACGGTGCAGTGGCTAGTATGAGATTGTTTATTTTTGGGAGATTGAGATAGAGATGTGGTAGTGTCATGCCAACTCATGTGCGAGTGGGAGATGTTAGTAATGGGCGCCCATGTGGCATGACCATTTGTATTTGAATTTGAATCTTATCCAAATAGGTTTTGAAATTGAATTCAAACCTATTTAGGATAACCACTCAGGATACAGATATTATCTCCATTAACTGATATAGATAGATAATAATAACATATTATATATCTGGTATATGAGTTATGGGTGAAAAAAAAGAGAGAAACAACGTATGATCTGAGTTTTACCCATATATTGACTCTCTCCCAAGAAACAACGATCAAAGTCATTTGCACTGTGATTTGTGTGGGTGATATTCAATCTGTGATATCACTTCACTGTGTTGGTTTATTATCCACGAGGTTCTATCATCAAAAAGGTATGATCTAAATATTTTATCCGCTGTATGTTTTATGCTTTGATTTATAATTATACAAACTAAATTAAGTATTAAAAGCATCTTCTCTACTAAGCCACGGCTCCCGATGGTCTAATTGTAAAATGAGATGAGTAGCGGGATGTGTGTGCTGAAGAGGGAGATGAGGACTACGCTGTCGAGAGTGGAGAGAGAGAGCAGAACTATGATGTGTGTGACGTGTGCATGTGAGATGAGAAAGATTTAACAGTTAAGGGTAAAATAGTAAATACGAATGTTTCATATTTTTGTAATATATTTTTCACTTGTCATTCCTGTTGAAATTTAAAAAAAATTCTCACTGATTTGTGGTTTACATCTTCTGCCAACCCACCGATTATTTCACCAATTTTCAATCCGCTCTGAATTCTGATCACCAAACGAGCCCACCATTTCATCTTCTTTATCCAAAGTCAAAAACCCATCTCTCTCTCTCTCTCTCTCTCTCTCTCACACACACACACACCCCTTCAAACATGCCTCTTTTAGTTCTGATGGTGATCTTGATACTTCTCTCAATCCTCTTAATAAAATTCATACACTCAATCATATGGATCCCACTGAAGTTTCAACAACACTTCAGGAAGCAAGGCATAGGGGGGCCTAGCTACCGTCCGATTATCGGAAACTCGGCCGAAACCAGACGGCGTATGATCGCGGAAGCTGAATCGAGGCCGATATCGTTCAACCATGATATAGTTGGGAGGGCGATTCCGCACTACTACAACTGGTCAAGGGTTTATGGGAAGACATTTCTGTACTGGTTCGGACCGAAGCCGCGATTGGCTATAGCCGAACCGGAGATGATTAAGGAGGTGTTGCTGAATAAGAATGGGTCGTTTGACAAGGTTGGGTTCAACCCATTGTCTAGGTTGCTCTTTGGACAAGGACTTGTTGGGTTAACTGGTGACAACTGGGCCCTTCATAGGAGAATTACAAGCCAGGCTTTCAACATGGAGACAGTTAAGGTCATCCTTTCTCATCTCTATCTCTCTCTCTCTCTCTCTCTCTCTCAAAATCTATCTAATAATTTGGATAAATTAGGATAGGATTCCCTATACTTTAATCATTATATCATTTTAATTTTTATAATTTTAATTGATTCAATTTTAATTTTAAATTTATAATTTTATTTTAATTTGATTCAATTGATTGTAATTCTAAACATTTCTTTATAATGTGTTATATTTTCTAAGGCAAAATTATAAATTTACTCAAAATTATAATGTTGAGTTAATCTCAATTAATTTAGTGATAACTTTTATAAAAATAAAAATAAAAGATATTATCAATTATATCAAACTTACACAAAATTTAAAATTAAATGTTAAAATTAAACCAATAAAAATTATAATGACCAAAATAACACAAGAGGTAAAATACAGAGGCTATTAATATAATTTGTCCTTATTATTATTATAATTTTATATGATTTTCTTAAAATACTTCTATAGTAGTTATATTGGTAATTATGCTTTAAATTCAAGGTTTTTTTTTTTTTTTTTTCAAATCTCTCAATTTTTGATTTTTTTAAATTAATTTTAATTTTAAAATTTTGAATTCAATTATATAATTTACAATCTTATTTTTTAAACAAAATGATGATATGTACGGGGATCACATGTGCAATCACTTCCGATACTATTATAAATAGAGGTGCAACTTGGGCAGGTTCGGTTAGATTGGGAGGTTGTTCAAGCTCAGCTCAAGTTGTACTGAGACCTGCCTAGACCTGAATTGTAACCTGAGGTTGCCTGTCCAAATCCAACCCCGAGTTAAATCCGAATTCCCTAAATTACCCAAATTGTAAATGAATTTTAGTTTTTTTTTTTTAAGCTACATTATTAAATTATTAAAATTTGACTTTATATATATATATATATATATATATATTTATAGAAAATCATTAATATCATCAAAACAAATAATTTATATGATATAAGAGAGATGGAGATAGAGATGCAGCTATATTAGTCTTTACAATTTATGAGTGAAAATAAAAAATAAAAAATAAAAAATAAAAGGTAAGATTTTATATTATTTGTATATATAATATATATTTAATATGATTTAATAATCTAAATTACTTTAATATCATGTAATAACTAATAATTTATATGTATATTTAATATTTTTATATATCTATATATGTATAATTCGGGTTTCGGGTTGCTGGGTTTGTTTGAAGGCTTTGCCCAAGCCCGCCCAAATTTAATTTAGGCTTCTGAATTTTTGTCCAAGCCCATACCGAATTTAAAAATATCGTCCAAGTCCTTAAAAAATTCAGACTAGATTCGAGTTGCTTAGGTTGAGCCCGTTCAAGTCCCATCCCTAATTATAAAGCCAACACTGTTGTTGTTGTTTGTGTCACAAAGTTTTATTTTTCAATTATAGTTGTTAGTAGCTGGCTTCCCTCCGGTTGTTGGGTCTGGGAGGTTCATCACGGATCTCGTTTCGATAATCTGAACCGTTCAATGTGTAGAACTCGTCGAGTATTATATGCTTATAAAAGATCTCGTTGATTGAATATCAATAGTTACGTGATCAAATCAGTTTTGTATAAAAAAATAGATAGTGAAAAATTAAACGGTTGACTGAAATCTGATCCGATGAGATAGCTATCGATATCCAATGAACGTGATTTTTTATAAGCATATAGTACTCGACAAATTTTACACATTGAATGGTTCAAATTATCGAACCCTCTAATCCATGATCGGACTGGAGGGAAGCCCAGCCCTAATAGTTATATCTTTATTTACTTTTTTTTTCTTTCATTATTTACTTTTTTTTTTCTTTAAAGAATAATACTCTTAATTGTCTCTAATACTGTATGATCTTTTTAGTTGTACCCGTAGTGTGCTTATATATATGTGTGTGTGTGTAGGAGTGTAAAAACGATCCGTCGGCAGCCCGGGGTGGGCCCGCCCATTTAGGCTCGAGCCCGAGCCTCGCCCAAGACCCTAGGCTAGGGCCTGGGCCATCATTTTAAAGCCCGGCCTAGCCGGCCCATCAACCTGCTTAAGGCCCATTCAAGGCCCAGCCTGCGCCAAGGCCTAGTGTTTTTTTAGTGAAAAATAATAAAATTTTGATAGAAAAATAGAACAAACAAAAAAAAAATTATTCAGGCCGCCCAAGCCCAGGCCTGCCGGCCCCCGAATATCTCCTGGGCCTGAGCCTAATTTTCTGATTTGTGGGCTGGCCCGATCTGGCCCGAATTTTGACAGGGAGCCCGTGAGGCCCGACATGGACTGGCCCGAGCCCGGGCCCTTCCCGAGCTGGCCAATTTTACACTCCTATGTGTGTGTGTCATGCATGTTTTGGGGTCATTCTAGAATACACTCTCTCAAATGGGGTATACCGTATGCAACGGCTAAATTATTTTTAATTATAATTAAAAATAATAATAATGAATTATAATTAACAATATAATGAGTTATAAATAAATCACAATATGTCATAATCAAATACCACAATATGTCATAATTAGGACGTATGATACACACTCTAAAATACATACTAAGGGTTGTTTTTACCACAATATGTCATAATTAGGACGTATGATACACACTCTAAAATACATACTAAGGGTTGTTTTGAGAAATTGGTTAAAAATTGATTTTTTGGCCTTTTTTTAAAAATGTATAAAAAAAAAATAGAGATGTAATATAACTCAAAATAAGTTAACAGTCAAAAATTGGCTAACCTTGTTCCCAAATTGGCCCTAAATCAATATTTAAAAATTTAATGAAAAAAAAAAAAACCGAAGTTTTATTCAAACTTGAACAATCATTTATTTGGAATATATATAGCAAAAAAATGTGTTTATGGATGTATTTTATCATACATAAGGGTAAAACGGTGGAACATAATTTAAGAAAATAAGGAAATAAGAAAAGTTCGAATGATAGTAATGTGTGATCGTATTTTAGTATGACATCTTATATAAGCATGAATCACATTATGTGATGAGTCCCACAAAATAAGTTACAATATTTGTTAGGTAAAATATAGAACTTATAAAATGATATAATTAGTGCAATCGAAGAGTATTTTCAATGGTTTATGTTATTTTGACATTGTTAAAGTCATAATTTGACTAACTGCAATACCAAATGTCAAATTATAACACGATGGTGTCATAGTAGTCACATGTTATTTTGGCACAATGTCAATAACTTCTCCTCTATTTTTTAGGTAGTGTTTGGATTTGATTTTTTTGTGATTTTTTTAAAAATTTATTTATATATTTATTTATTTTACATTTTTAGGTTCTACACAACTAAATGAAAAAAAATAAATAAATAAATAAATAATTGAAAAAAAATTATCCATTGGTTCATTCATTTTGTGTGTTGAAATGTATTTTGGGTTTGTTTAAACTTGACATGAAATATGTCGAGAGACTGAGAGTACAGTCGAAAGAAGATGAGGTGGTAAATTTGGCAAAATCAAATCTTATGCTAAATTTAACATAAGATTTTGCATTACTATATTTTAGTAGATAAAATAGCACACCAATGGAGACTTATTTTTCACAACTGTTGTCATATTTTGGCAATGGCAGCTCTAATGACATATTCATTTGATATGCTCTTAGATGCTATCTATATTATGCTACTTTGGGAATTTGGTTTTAACCTATTTTAGATTACATCACCTCTCTATTTTTTTATATGTTTTTTTTTTTAAATAAAAATGAATAAATCAGGTTTTAACCAACTTCCCAAAACAATATATTAAGGAAAAGGGAATTTGTAATAAAAAGGAATGTGAGAGCTCCACATGCTCAACATGAATTTTTAAAATTTTTGAATTATTGTAAAAGCAAAAAAAAAAAAAAAAAGAAAAAAAAAAGACATGTCTTAAAATGATTGGTTGATTAAATATTTTTTAATATCACTAATATCACCCATTTTTGTTCCTAAATTAACTCCAGCTTTATTTTATAACTATATTATTGTATAGCTATATTTTTGATACCATATATAGGTACTCTAACCTTTTAAATTTATATTTCTAAATTAACTCCTAAATATTTTCAAATGGTAAAGAATTTATATAAAAAAACTATATTAATATTTTAATATCTTTGATTTTTTTTAAAAAAATTACTAGTCTTTAAATGTTTGGTCTTCATGTAATATTTTTAGTGTTGCATAAACTTCTTAACACCACATCAATGAATGTGGTATTAAAATATTTGTAATTACACATATTTAAATTTCTTTGTACACTTAGATGTACACTAATATCTATGCCTAAATATAAATTTTATCATGCATGTGGTGGGTGTGGAAAAAAAATTAAGTGTGTGTAATTTGGAACTCTTGTGATATTAGTCACATTCCTTAATAACCCTATATCTTTAACTCCTAAATATTTTCAAATGGTAGGGAATTTATATTACAAAATCATATTAATATTTTAGTTCCTCTGAATTTTTTTATTTTTTTATTTTTTTAATTAAGAGCCTTCAAAGTATTTGGCCTTTAAATTAGGAGCGTTCAATTGATTATTACCAACTGTTTTACAAATTGAATAATCAATTTTTTAGGTTGAATCCAAGGTAGGGTTAGAACAAGGTATATTTTTAGTAGTGGCGGTGACGTGGTGGTAGTGATAGCGATGATAGTGGTGGTGGTGATAGCGGCAGCGGTGGCATGCATGGTGGTGGTGATAGTAGTGGTAGTGAATTTATAATAGATATATCAATGCTTATGTTTAGTATTTGTAAATTTAATAAGAATTATGTAAATATGATATGATTTTTAAAAAAAAAAATTAAGTTTTAGTTTATATTTTAATAGACACTTAACTTTTTAAGTGATATCAATTATGGTTATTAAACTAGCTTAATTGATTATCACTTAATACATTTAGTCTTAAGTGCTGAATCAAGTTATCAAACGTCCTCTAAAATAAGAGTAATTATTCAGTAATTCCGGAGTATAGACACGTGATATTT